AGCTGTAGCTTTGATACTTTTATAATCTAGTAGCGGGTAGAATAAAAAGGTAGTGAAATAGACTTGTGGCATCTTTGGAAAACGTGATACCGTAATAAGATAAATTAGTTAAGGTGAAATTGAAAAAGATAATAAAATGGGTGATCAGTAAAGTAATTTTATGTGTACTTTTAAAATTGAAAATAGAAAAGGTCAAACACCGATCTCATGTTAATCATAGAGTCCGTGAGAAGCGTCCCGTTTTTTAAATTTATTTTTATATAATTTATAACAAATTTTTTATGTGAAAATTTGATTATAAAATGAAATCTGTTTATAGTATTTCGCGCACTTTTGTTATTATTTTATAAAAGAAAACCAAGGATGGGGTTTTATCAAATTAAAATAAATTTTCGTCGAGATATCAATATAAAAATATTATGAAAACAAAAAATAATTATATTTTCCTACGCCAATGGTACAGGCTTTTAATATGGTTTCATATTTTAAAAAGATTTTTGTTTTTCATTAAATTAAAATGCTTTTTGCTGAAATATATAAATTATTAACTTATACTTATTTTTTAAAATTATTGGTGGCATACTTTATTTAGTTTTTTTATAGTTTTTGGAATGAAGGGTATGGGGGAGGGGGAATAAAAGAGGATAATTTTTTATTAACTTAAAATGATATTTACGAAAACTCAAATTTCCAATGTAGGGAATTAAAAGATGTATGCATTTTTGATTTGGGCAATGGTGACCTGGGGAATTTGTGATTACGGGCATTACTGGTTGTCTCTGATAAGGCTCCCCCACCCGGAAAACGCTAGACTGCTTTACATTGGCTTGTTAAATACTAGACAGCTTAATCCTGATTTGTTAAGCACTAGATGGGTTTAATGATGTTTGATATCCTCGAACCGCCTCGGCTGCAATGGCATATCACCTATTGGCCCAGCCCCTGGTTTATTTAAACGCGAAGCTTCCACGGGTTGAACCCTTCTTTGTTTTTTAGGAAGTTCAGCGCGAGCCCTGGAATGCGAATATATCATAGCGAAATTACTAACTATTACTGGTACGGGAAGTGCCGTGGTTAAGACGTCACCAAGAGCGCAAAAGGCTCCCAGAAACATGCCTAAAACAAATAAATTGTGTAAACACTAATTTTTTCAAAATCCTTCATTATCATTTTAAAACAATAAACATGATAATAAGTGGTGTTGTTAAAGTTCAACTAGTTACTTCTGAAAAATGTAATTATATCTCATTTACATCAGATAGTTTTTTAATCTAGGAAGTGTTGTTAAACGTCTCGATTTGAGCCGATTGTAAAAACGGCTAACTCAATATTTTAGCTAGCAAAATATTGCCTAAGCGTCGAGATTTCGCCAATAGGTGTTTAAAACATTTTGGCATCTATATGAGTATAATCTTTAGACTTTCATAATATTTTTTGGATAAAATATCGAATTAGCCATCTTTAAAAATCGGCTCAAATCGAACAGTTTTACAACAATAAGTCTATGGAAGATTATCTTTGGAGAAAAACTAGCATGCCTTTTAGATTACAATTTCGGAAATAGTTTATTGTTAATAAAGTGAAATAAAATTTATCAAGCCCAAATATTTATGAAAAATAAATTGTTATTTATATTTTTTCGGTGCAAATAAATATTAAAATATGATATTTTTTTCAGTACAAATAAATACTATATTGTAGTATATTTATTTTAGTACAAAATTCCTTTGATTGCAATTTCTAAATAGAAAAATTATTTTATATGATTAATAGATTATACTAAAAATGATGAGTTATATAAAATAATTTATTATAAAATAACTAGTTACATTTGCAATGTTACGGTAACTAGTTATAAGTAATATAACGAGTTACTTTTTAGGGATATAACTTGTGTTTGTAATTGACATTTTTCTAAAGTAACTTTCTAATAATAAAATTAAAATGATCTTATTTTAACTTTTATTTTACATAATTATTTTGTTTTATGAAATTTTTTTAACCCAATCCTTGTTATCCTATGTTGTCCAAAAATATTCTTATTAACTAATACTTTAGTTCTATTTGAAACCATATTCCCTTCACACCTCTTAAAGATTTGTTTTTATATTCTCAAATTTGCATCTATCTCAACATCCAAATTCCAAATCGTATTCAATTTATATTTTTTGAACATGATTTTTGTAAATATTAATTTTGGATAAATATGAGTCATTATTTTCTTCATTATTGATTTTAACGAGGAATGTAAACTAAACCCTTCGACAAAAAAGGGTTCGGGTCTGAAATCTTGACTTAAATAGATAAAAGTCTTTTCATATTTCCATAAGTAGAGTTTGGTAAGTCTACCTGACGCATCCAAAGGTTGGTGAGAGTCTTTCCTTAAAATTCGACCCTATTAAATGGTGTGTTCTACATCATAAGGCGTCCGAGAACGCGGCCATCCAAAGTCGAACAAAGACCAATTTATTTATTATTATTATTATTTTTTTTAATAATCATTTTTTATATTAGAAAAATATGTACAAAAAATTAAATCTATATTTAAATAGAACATGAAAAATATTGAAAATAAAACAAATACATTAAATTTAAATAGAACATAAAAATATTTTAAAAAACAAATATATTAAATTTAAAAAAAAAGGAGAATGCTAAATGAAATGATTTGAACCAAGAATTTTTATATATTAAATAATTTGACCGAATTATTGTGATAGCAATGTTTTGTTTAAGTTTATAAAAAGGAGAGATATATGTATTTTTGCTTATGGATTTCGACACCGTTTTGAAAAAATTTCAAAGCGGCTTGCTCAAAGAAACAGGATATGTAGCTATGATGGGGACAAAGTGGTTATCACCCATCTGGTAGGAATATTTTTGGTATTTTAATAACTCCGCCCTGACATGAGGGTCATGTATATTAATAGAAGGGGCAAGGGGGTCTATGAAAGTAAAATTCCAGATCAAGGATTGCCTGATAAAAAAAGACTAAAGTTATGCAGAATGTGGGTTCAAGAATGCACGGAAGATTTACCTTATTGAGAAATGTAGCAATTAAAATTCAACCCTATTATCTGGTGTGTCCTATATCATAAGGTGTCCGAAGAACGCGTTCATCCAAAGTCGAACAAACACCACTTTATTAAATAGGTCAATTGTATTGTATAATAAAATTTAAGAATAAAATAAATTAATTACTGCTAAAGTTTAATCAACAGTTATTTATTAAAATTCACAAGTCTAGCTATGATTTTTGGGTGGTCTTCCTACACAAATTTTATTGGAAGACTTAGTACAGGCTTTTGGCTAATTTTTTTAAAGAATTTGTTTTTCGTTATATTAAAATGCTTTTTTCGAAAAAGTTTATAATCATTAATTTATAAATTATAAACTTATACTTATTTTTTTTAAATTATTGGTGACATGTTGTATACAGTTTTGGGAAGATGGGGGTGAGGAGAGTATAGAAATATTGGGAAGATGGGGGTGGGGAGAGTATAGAGATATTTTTTATTGGTCTGAATACGAAAACCGTCAAATTCCGATGAAAATTGAAAATAATGATATTTATCATTTATCTATTCAAGTATAATAATGAAGTTAAAAAACTAGAAGAAAATGTTAATTTGATCATAAACATTATTCAATATAGATATAAATGCCTGCAGTGGAGCATATTCTCTAAAATATCTTTATAATTATCCGAGTGTCTTTAATATATAGGTTCGGTTCAGGTTCCAGGTAGAGAAAATAATTAAATAGGTTTGGTTCATGTTAAGGAATTAAATTTTAGAAAGGTTCATTGACAATTTTTATTTGTATAATTACAATATCATCTAATATATCTTTGTCCAATCTTGTTCTCTGTGGTGGTGATAGAATATATTACAACTGGAAATGATCTTTAAAGCGAAATCTCTGTAGCTGAAGTTTTTAATAAGTAGAGTTCAGATTGCTCTTATTTTCTTCTTTTCCTATATACGCGAATATCGGTGTCTTTATTAATCCCCGTTATGGTATCTATCAATCTTTCTCGTTTTTATTGTGGGACATATTTTAATTTTTGTTATTTTCATTCATTTTCAATATAATTAAAAATTGTCTTCAGAATCATGATAATTATTTTGACCATTGAATTTAATCAATTACATGCCAAGTTTGTATAAGATATTGAGGATCAAAATGTTTGCATACACTGAATGCATCGTTTTTTTAGATTGATCTCCCTTGATTTTATGGAAGAAATTAACAAATTGTCCAAACCTATATTAAGTTCTTTATTACAATCGTGTATTTTAAGAGAGAAGAATAGAAATCACCTAATATTCTTTGTTTAAATAAACATTGCTATATATCTTATTTTTATAATTTTAAATTATTGGTAATACATAATACAGAAAGGTTTTTTAAAAAAAATAACGCCTGGAGATAAAAATAAATTATGTTGTTTAATATTTATAAAATAAAACCTTTATGAACCGGGTTTTAGAGGGTTGTAAAAGTTCGGTTAGTTCATTTATTTTTTTTTTAAAAAAAATATTGAATTCTATAAATTAGTTTGGTTCGGTTTTCGAGGTTGAGTTCGGTTCGACACTCTGCTAATTTTTAAATATTGTTATGTAAATTAAAATACACACACCGAAAAAATTTTGAGCGCTTTTCAGAATTTTTTTTTAAGTTATAGGAAGACTAGCTAAAGACGAAAATAATGTATTTTTTAATTATGTCATTTATTGATATGGTAGGCAATAGAAAGTTAATATGAAAACTATTCTATTTCATTTATTTTTTAATAGGTAATAGTAATATAACACTTGAGTTAGAAATAAGATGTCATATTATCAAAAAAACTATATGCTTATTATTCGAAGAAAAAATTTGCATGACGATTCCCGTTACGTCTCTTTCCTTAAAAAAATTAGTCCCAAAAAGGTTAGTCCTTTAAGAAGCATCATTCGGACGCGTTCGTCTCAAAGAAAAAAAAAACTAAGAAATACCTAAATATGTCTTCGGTACCATATCCCCATAACCCACAGTAGTCATTGTTACTATGGCCCACCATAAACCTACGGGTATGCTCGTGAAGTCGTTATGAGGGTTTGTTTCGATTCTTTCTGCGTAATATACAAGGCTAGCGAATATAACGATACCTATTGACATCATTAATTTCATTAAAAAATTTAATTAACGAAATTTTAAAATTATTTGATAATCTTAATGCCCATCCCCCACCCCCATGAATGGTTATAGTTTTTATAAGTATTTATATATTTCACTTCCAATTATATGTATTTATTTTTAAAACTGCAAATCCCGGCAATGTCCGGGAAAAATAATTTCGGGCTGGGTTGGGCTTAATATATTTAAATCGAGCCGGGTCGGGTTTAAATTTTTAAAGATGATATCACTCAATTTTGTTTATAAAGTGATATAATTAAATTTTTCCATATTTAAATAAATTCGGGCTGGGCAGGGTGGGAGAATAATTCTCTTTTTATTTTGGGTCATTTTCGGGACATATAAAAAATTGTTCAAAATCGGGCCGGGCAAATTTTTAAAAAATTTTTTGGGCCGGGTCGGGCTTGAAAAATTAGGTCCGATGCAGATCATTAAGCCACGTAGTTTAAATAAAATGTATTTAATAAATTAGTAGAAATTTTACCTAAAACGAGGAAGAATATTAGAAGTAATAACTCTTTTGCACTTGCTTTGAAGGTATGTATGAGTATTTTTAAACCCGTAGAATGACGTGTCAATTTAAATAATCTCATTATCCTAATAATACTAAAGAATTCGAGGATATCACCATGGGCAGCTTCTTGCTCGATCTTTGTTAAGTCGATGTACAAGCTGACGTAAAAGGAAAGAGTCGCAATAAAATCTATCAGATTCAATGGAGATTTTACAAAGTTGGCTTTATTGGGGCTAACTACAAAGCGAACAAGAATTTCTAAAGTAAACCAAACATTGCAGATAGATTCTATATAGAAAAAGACCCTGTGAGGTTCTGTCGCGATTTTGTCAAGGGTCCAAGCGGTGACATTTGAAGATACTTGTATTGTGACGTTTCTTATGACAGGTATCCTAGCCAAAGGATATGTTTTTAGGCAAAATGTTAATATTGACACGAGGATAAAAAAAACGGAAATTCCCGCTACAGCCTATAATATATGAAAAATGGAAATTTAAAAGAAAAACAATTATATTTATAGAATAATATTCATATTTCATATCTAAAATTGTTAAGAGTAAAATGTCATTGTTAAAATATGTATTTAAAAAATATTGTTTAATGAAATCAATATAAATATTTTAAAATAAATAAATTATTTTACTTTGGCAGCTTTGGAAGAATATGGCTCATCAAAGAGAGCCCATATTTTTGGCTTGTATTTTCTCCAATAACTCATTACTCCTCTGCGACGGCTGCCGCCACCAGCTCCCCCATAGTATAGATTACGGTCTTCTTGTAGGGCAAATCTCCTAGCAATTTCTTCCTCCGTTGGTTTTTCTGAATCTAAGTCTAACCTATCTAAAACGGCCAGAGTTTCACGGGTGTCTTTATATTGCGTGTAAGTCATCCAACAACAGGGTTCGACTTGATTAGAATCTAGTCCCCAAAACTCGAGTTCTTCTTCGAATAACGGCCCACACACATCTGTGGGGTAATGAAGTTTGCCCGTTCTATAGTAGTTCAGCACTTGAGCAAAGACCCCTGGGTGTCTGTCAAAAAAGTATTCATTTAGAATTGGATCGTAATTTGCCAGGGCTTCCGTAAGTCTGGATAATCTAGTTGCCGGAATTTTTTTTAATGTGGCTTTATATGTTTCATGACGAATACCTCCCACGTTTATTATAACCCGATTGTCAGCATCAGTTCCAGCCATCGCGAGTTATTAAAAAAAATTAATAGTTTCTTTATGATAATATGAGAAAACTTGGCCAATTTTGGAAGCAAATTTTCTATAAAATGCTTTATTAGGTTTAGCTAAACATAGACTTATGTAGTTTCTATATTTGACTTCATTTTACAAAATTTTTAACAAATAAATTTTGGCACTGGGAATTTCAAAGAGGTAAATTATCGTAATATTAAGAATAAATAAATTTTGAATTTTAACAATTTATAAATAAATTTCACGATCCTTTCTTTATTTTGATTAAATCGTCGATAACAACGGGCGTGGATTCGCAAAGAATTTAAATTTAATCTTAGAGAGAGTGTCATATTTTAAATAAATCGAAATTGACATCAAGATATAGTTTATAAAGTCGAAATTGGTATTTAAGATCATGTCCTTTTTCATAATTATGAATGTTAAATTTTAGGCATGTTTTTTTTTATTTTCGGTCTTTTAAATATGAATTTGTGGTTCATTACATACGATGTATATCAATTTGTGGGTCTTTTCATTCTTTTCATTAATATGGGAATGTTTCAAACGGAATACAAATTATTATTATGTAATTTCGCATTACAATCAAATCAAGTATGTTCATATCGGCCATATCAAATCTTTAAATAAATAACAATATAAATCAAATTTAGGCAAATTAATTATTATATTATTAAATATAAAACACTATATTATATATTATATTTAAGCCTTTTTAAGATGATAAAATTTAGATAAATTTATCATATATAATTTTTATTCTTTAAAATTATATGTAATCTTCCACCTAACTTAACTGGATTAGTTATATGAAATTCCTAATGAAATGCATAAACGCTTGCTTATGCCAGTAATAAATAATTTCAAAATAATCAAAGGAATTATTTTCAAACTAGTTATTTTAAGAAATAAATACACAAAATCTAACTAAAATTTATTTTTGAAAAATAATACTAAAAATAGTATGGGTTACATTGCACTGTCAAGACCAGTGTCGTCATAAGCCTTTACAATTTTCAGAATTTTTTTTGCTAATATTTTTGGAAATGACCTTTTTTTAGCTAACAATTTAAAATAATCTTTTTTAAATATTTTCAAAAAATGTCAAAGGGCTCTTCAAATTTTTCAGGTGGCTTGAGTCCCCTATGCCTCCTAGTGACACTATTGACCAAGACACAGTGGTAACAGCCTAGAAGGGAATTAAGAAACATTGTAGTAAAATATTAAGAAAGGACGTCAATATACTTTTCAATTTGCCAGGGCTTAATGGGTGCTCAAAGTCTAAAATTATTTAAAAATCAATATTTTTTATATTTTATGCTTGATAATGTGTATTTTCGAAAATATTTAAGAGGGCTATTCGAAATTTCGATGAGGCACTAGCCCCCAAAAGCATCCTCTAATGCCACTGATGTAAAGTGTATGCAAATGACCTAATGGAATACTAAGGCAATGAAAGTATAAATTTGCTAAAACGAAGAAGAGATGCTCCCATTCTATATCTAGAATTAAATATCAAATATTGGATTCTTCAGCGTGAGTAAAGAACCACATATACCTAAAAATCTCCTAGGTAGAAAGATTTAACATTTGGGTTAACGTCTGATTTGGACTAGAGGAGATAATATAAATTTGATATATATATGAAGGCCTGATGTTAGCTAAGGTTTTGCTTCAAAAGTATGCCAAATTGTATAATTTTAAATTCATAATCCTAAGGCTTCTTTTCACATCTAATATTATAGTATTTCCAATAGCCAACATCAGGCCTTGACTCAAATGTAATATTTTATTAAAATAAAGTTTAGATAATTTTTTGGTATGTATGGTATGGAGATATTTATCGACTAGTGCACGCAGAATAATTAGCTTATACGCCGTTGAATTAGGTCATTAAATTTAATTGGCAACACAACGAGATTAAATTTAGTTAGAATTGAGATGAGAGGCGAAGCAAAATGTAGAAAGTAAGCCTGGTAAAAAAAATGCAGAGGGAAACATGTTGTTGGATTTAAAGAGGGAAAAGATTATATAAAACTTGGCAAAAAATAAGACAAATAAGGAACCTCGTAGTTAAAATTAAAAAAAAGCTAAGAGGAATATGACAAAATCAAAAAATAAAGTGTAAGATGACATTGATAAGAAACCAGTAAGGGAAAATATAATATATCGGATGAGAAAAAAATTATGAGAAAGAATTGTATATACAATATAAGATGAATTAAGAAAGGTGATATTGAACATGAAGAAGAAGATAGCAGAAATATAGCCCGGAAATAGAATCAAAGATAAATCAGATGTGGTGACAGTATCAGAAACATTCTAATAGAAGCACGAAAGCAATAGAGAACAGAAGCTTTTACAGGAATACTAAACAACATCGAGACTGGTAAAATTCCCAAAGAATAAAAATAATAGTGGATGTACAGGATAGCTATCCGGTCATTAAATTTATGAGCCACATCTTCATGTATGAGAAAAGGTTATCGGTGCTGATATAAAGATATTGAGATAAGTTTAAGTCAAAATGGTTCAAATAATCACAAACCTGGGTTTAAATTATTAGAACATTCATCTGCCCGAAAACGGGGAGACATAATTATGTTGATAGATAAATCGATTGTGTAATAATAAAATAAAAAGGAGAGGAGGATGCTAGGGTTGTTAAAAAGCCCGATTCGGGTCGATTTTTAACTACTAGAATCGGGGCTGAATGAGCTGACCGACAACTAAGTGATAACCTAACCATTATAAGAAAATAAAATATACTTAAATTTTAAATTATACTTGTAACTAAGTCATAGCTTTTATAATAATAACATACTTATTATACATGATTAAATTATATTAAGAATGTTTTAAAATATCTAGAAAAAAGTTAATTTTACTATTGAATAAATAAATATTTAATTAATAGAGTCATAAATTTAAAGAATAATAATAATATATTTTTAGCTAATTATATTTTTTGAATGAAGAACTTTCCTATCTTTTTTTTATAATTAAAGTGATTGGGATTTTTAAAATATAAACAGGTTTACATTTTTCAAAATCGATGAAATAATTTAGCCAATAATAATGAGACTGACCTTCAATATAAATTATCAATTATCATGGCACTGTTATATGCATAAAAAACTTGATATATTTATATGTAAAATAAAGAAAATTGGTGTACTTAAATTTTTTTTAGTGTCGTTCAATTATTTTGAAACAAAATTAAATTTGCATTTATATCTAAAATTTATTTGAGGTCGAATTTGACGTATTTTTTAAGTGTCTAAGAATAGTTTTGCTAAAATAATTTTATTTTAATATCAAAAGGATGGTATAAAACAATGAATATATAGGTAAATGTAGTAATTAGTATTATTATATAAAATAATTAAAGTCAAGTTCTAAAGAAAACAACAGAAAAAGCGAATTTTATTTTGGTGTATTCGAGCTGATATTATATAAAAATGTTTGATTATGTAATTAAGGTTATACCAAAAAAGACATGAATAATAAATTAAATTAGTTTCATAAATTTATCATAGACTAAATTTGCCTGAGGGTGCTCCCTGAAATTTCAACGACACAAGTAAATCCAAAAAATTTGAATTTTAACCTATGAGTTTAAAAATAGATACTAATTATTATTTGCAAATTATATTATCAATAAGTTTTTAACAGTGGCGTAGCAAGAGGAGGTTGGGGTTGATCTCCAACCCCGAGAAACTATAAGATTAGGTAAAATTTTATTTATTATAATATTTTTTAATATTGATATCTAGATGAAAATTTGCTTTTATTTTTTTTTGAATAGATAAAACCCCCTCCTTAATTATCAATTTCTATAAAATCAACAAAGAAATTTCTTCTTTTATTTAAAAAAGTATATCAAAAAATCTTAAAAATCTATCATAAAACAATAATATAGACATGGACGGACTGAATGCTTCGGCTCCGTGTTCAAATCCCAGAAGTCTCAGTTTTAAAAGGGTTTCACCACCCCCTCCCAAATACTTCTATTTTGTCGAGTCATCTTGGCTATTTTAAAAAAAAAATAATTTTAATGTTTTTCTGACAAAACTTGACCAAAAAGATGTGTTAAAGATTTTATGTAACGATTTTAATAAATGAAAAAAAAACATATTATATCACATATCATATTTTATTGAAAGATAATTGCACATATAAAATTGCACTTAAAATAATATTATATTTTAATAATAAAGTAAAGACGAATTTTTTCTTTAATCGAAGATTTCATCTCAAATTAATTTAATTTAGTTTACGTTCTATTGATATAAGTAGAAAAGCTTCTAATTCGTCTTGTCCAATATTGACGCGCAATCTTTTTTTTAACTAAAGCTTCGCTCACAGCTTATTTTCTTTCTTTCTTTCTTTCTTTCTTTCTTTCTTTCTTTCTTTCTTTAACTATAAGCAATAAACATGTTGGATTATGCAGCAGTATGGAGATTGTAATAATGCAGAAGGTCATACACACAAATTGAATAATTTCTGCATTTTTTATAATGTGAATCATTGTTCCGAATCCGAGACTCTACCCATTCCATAATTTGGGTGATTTCTTTTTTGGATATCATATTTGCAGGACTTCCATTTGCAGATATTTTAACAAAAAAAATTTAATTCTTTAATTGATGACTGGGGGCTTTCACTAATTTGGATAATATGTCTAGTGATTATTAGATACCCGAGATATTAACATACTGAAATTTACTTGGGCGAAAAATTGTGTATCACTGATAAGACCTTTATTTTCTGAAAATCTTTCATTAAAAAGATTAATTATGTGAGTCTATATAGGCTGAAACACATCAATTCTATATCTATCAATATTATTGTTAGGCCGTTCGTCCTTTACATTTATCTGAATATATTCTTTTTTACAGTGATTACGCGTCAAGTTTGCTACTAGGGATGCAATCAAAATATTTTTTTATTTTTATTTATTAGTCATAAAAAAATTAAAATATATAAATAAGTAGAATTCGTCTTTGTTTTTGAGAAAAATGATCAAGTACTGAATCAAAAAAGTTATTGCTAGATTTTAAAATTTTTATTTTCAATCAAAATCAAAAATATATTTAAAATTTTAAAATAAATTTTTTTACATTAAACCTATAATTTATTCATTAAAAATTAGCGGAATATCTATAAAATTAT